GGATGCAACTGCCCGGCGGCCGAGTCTCCCGGGAGGGGAGAGCGACCGCATCTGGAGCAGAAGGAGCTGCCAGGGAAGAGCTCTATGCGAGAAGGCCTTTAAAGGAGATGCACAAGAGCGGCTGGGAGCTCCCTGCGTGGGGCCGGGGCGGGCTGAGGGGTTTGCAGGTGGCGAGGAGACGGTTGCTCTCGGTGCGGGGTGAGTCCTGTACCCACTCCTTAGAGGTGAGAGCTGTCGTGCTGAGCTGGGAGAGACCACGACTGCTCCCTGCGTGCCCAGCTGCTGCAGAGCGGAGCAGACCTGAGCCTCAGCGTCTCCCTGGCAGGAGGGTCAGGGTGGGGTGGTGGCAGTCAGGACCCACCGAGGTGGGGGGTGCCCCCATGAAGGCAGGATAAACCAAGATGGCTGATGAGGAGTCCCTACGACATCACCTTTGATGATGCAGGGAAGCCACTCTGCCCGGGACCCCCACACCTCCTGCCCCTCTCGGCAGCGCCCCCTTCCCGCGCTGCAGAGGACCAGGCTGCAGGCAGGCAGCCGCTCTTAGCCCCCCCCCATGCCCGGGGACCCTGATGTGCCACGAGGAACAAGGCAGGTCCTTGGGGTCTGCAAATCTCCTAAGTCCCGAGAGGTCAGCCAGCAAATGGCACCTCCCAGCCCCATGCTCATCTGTCGAGGGTGCAGGACGCGGCCTCGGGTCCAGGGAGTGCTGAGAGCGCCCATTTGCAGCTTTGAAGCAGGAGTGGGATGAGGCTTTGGAAATGGCCATAAAAACGGTCCCCAGCAGGTCAGGATTTCAAACATCCTTGAAGTTTCAGGGATGGGTTTTCCCCTCCTGGGGCAAACACCTCCTGCTCAGACCTGACCCAAAAGCAGAGCTGCTGAGAAATCCTGAGTTATCTTCGGGGAAGAATAGCCCCAAATTCCCAGGCTGTCTTCCCTGTGACACACACACCTAGCAACACAAGCTGTAGTATGCATGATTAGCACCAATTAATGACAATTAACACATCCTAAATTCATACCACCAGCACCAGGAAGATACTGGACTTGCTGAAAGGCAGACTGGCACCGTCACCCTCTCCCCTATAGTCTTGCGTGTCCTGCCTTTCCTTAAAAATATCGCCCCTGAGATTTCCTCTCTTCTCCAGTCCTCGAATTTTTCTGTCCACTTCCAAGAGTTTCCAGGCACAGGGCTGACCACTTGTGCTTCTTTTCAGCGGAGGATTTGCCGAGACACGCTTCCCAGCCTGAGCAGGTTGCCTGGCCCAAGCTGCCAGAGGATGCTCGGGGCTTGCGACGGCAGAGCTGGCTCCGTCCCGCGGGTGGGTACACCCACGCTCGCCCGTCCGCAGGCAGCCGAGCCCAGGAGCTGTGCGGCAGTGACACCCCTGAGCAGCAGAGCTTCCCCCCTGCCCCTTACCCCCAGGGCTTTCCCAGCCGCTCAGCGAGCTCTGCTGTCCGGCTGGTACCTCGAAAGGCAGATGGATTCTCCAGGTGTGAAGTCAGGTTTGCATTAGCGCTGCCAGTCCTGTCGCTGGGCTGATTTGCCTCCGGGTGCCCCCCTGTTTCAGCAAGGGGAGACTCGAGCAGAGGGGAAGACCCTTCCTTTGGGCTGAGCCTCTGGGGATGGAGCCCAGCGCCCCACTGCCCCGGCGTTGTTCCCCTCCTCGAGGGCCTGCAGGATCTGCTCGGGCACACGGGTCTAAACTGTGTATTTTATTGCTGACTGATTTCTCCAGCCAAGCACAAGGTCTCTCCTCAACACAGCCCCCAGCCAAGCCTCCTGTAGCAGGGTGTGGAAATAAAAGCAACTTCAAAGCACGATGCTGAGCAGACAGAGAGTACAAAACCAGAGGGATGGAGGACAGACACCTCTGCACACACCAGTGCTTTGCCATCAACACTGCCTGGTCCCACCGTCCCCATCCCCACAGAAAGCCTGCTCCCTCCCCGAGAGCAGCAGCCCAGCACCGGGCAGGCAGCAGATCAAGCTCTGTAGCCTCTGCTCTGGTGTCCTGGCAGGGAGACGGCTGCAGCGAGCTGCTCTGTGGGGGACATAGACCTAAGGACACCATCGGGTTGGTTCCCCACACCAGAAAAACGCTTTTCTGCTCAAAAACTGCTCCGCTCCCTCCCACACACGCGTGCTGAAGAGTTCAGTGAGAGGCACTGCCCCTCTGTGCAAACCATCCCATCCCAAGAGCCTCCTAAAGCACTTCCTAAAAGCACCTAGGGATTTTTCTGGACTCTTATTTTTAACCTGGGAGCATCGTGATTGCAATCTAGGTATCGGAGGGCCTCAAAGAAGCAAAAGCAGCCCAGCTCCCCATGCACAGACCTGTTCAGCGGGGACGAACAAGACCCTGCTGGGACATCTCCAGCCCAGAGAGGCGAGTGGCAGCAAGCTGCTGTGGGCTCTGGCTTTGCCCCTTGCCTCTCCTTCCCGCGAGGTCCCACCTGCGGCAGCCCTACTGCGACGGCGTCTTCCCGGGGCTCCTCCTGGCGCCGAGCTGAACTCGCAGCTCAGCTCGCAGAGACCGCGGTCGTCTGGATTAGCCGCTTCTCAGAGGAAAGCTGCTCAGACCGACACCGGCTGCTGATGCTGGAGACGTGATTTAATGGGTCTGCGCAGGGGGCCCAAGCGTGAAGCAGCACCCCAGCCCTCCAGCAACTCCATCTCTGCGTGGCCCCAGCTCCCAGCTGACATGGACCTGGCAGCCACCAGACTGCCCAAGGGAGAACACGATTCGCTCATTGCGATTAAAAGGCTGTTGACAAAAAAAAAGCAGATGAGAAAGAGGGGTTTTTGCTGCTTTTGGTTCAGTTTCAAATTCCAGGTTGAAAAAAAAGACGACTGCTGAGGCTTCAGTCTCACGTCTGGGTGTCACAGCCACCAGATTTCAATGCAAACTGCATCAGCGTGTTGGGGATGAGGTGTGTGCGATTAACAGGTTGTTAGTGAGACCCAGTTACCTCCAGGGTGAAGCCGGGTGATTTTATCAGCTCGCAGCGTTGCTGCAGGAGGGGACACGGCAGCTACCTGGGCATGGGTGCAGGTCCCTCTGGAAAGGGGCAGCCCCTCAGGGGATGGATACCGACCACTTTCGGGAAAGCAGCTGAGTTTCAGCCCTTTCCAACAAGGGGTTTCGTGCCCCAAGGCGGTCTGGCTCCTGCGCAGCTCTGACATTGGGTGTTCAGCGCCCATGGGTGCAGCATTCCCATGCCTCTTCCTGTCCGAAGGAGGTTCTGGGCTGTCTGATCCTGGCACCAAGTCGCCACTTGGGGAGGGGAGAGAGCATCTCATCATGAAACAGGTTCAGAAATCACTGTGGGAGGATGAGCAGGCAGCAGAGTGGACACATAACCCGTGCAATTGCATAATACTAATTTCCTTTTTTAAAATTTGGCCAAAAGGGGAGTTCCCCTCTGTACCACAAAGGACATAAATCACTACAAACAGAAGAGGAAGCAGATAAGGAACTACTGTCAAATATCCCAAGTAAATTGGCTGAAAATTATATGCTGCCTTCTACACACAGCCTAGGAAACGTCCAGAACAAAACTTCAGACCTTCCACTTCACCTACACTGCTCATAAATCAGGACAAGGACAAACCCAGCCCTGGTTCTCCCTCTGTTCCTGGATAAACTTCTGCGGAACTATAAAACCTGACCGATGTTTTATGGCACGTCCACCTCTTTGCACTGTTCAGCCTGGATTTTAAAGCTCTCGAGAGGGTCAAGAGGAGTGAAAACTAAAGCCTTCTGTCCAGGTGCTGCCAACCACCACATGAACAAGCAGCCTTCCACCAGCATGTCTAGTGGCTCCAGGGTTCATTTCAATCCTCCCAACACGACTGTTATCTTGCACTCACACCCCAGGGGAATCCACAGTACACGACAAGCTGCAGCCAAGAGAAAAGCCAGGCCTAAGCAGTCTCTTTCCAGAAGCCAGCGTAATGCTTCCCAGCAGAACGGGAACCCCCCCTTGCAGTTTGCAAAGCCGAGCCCTGCTTCACCACTGCTTCTTGCAAAAACCACGTAGGCTGGCCCAAAACGCAGCTCCCAGTATCTCCAGCTGAGCTGGAAGTGCAAGCTGCATACGGCACGTAGCAGCCAAGAACAGCCTGTCAAAATGAGACCGTTGCCTAAAGAAACCAGTAAGCAGTTACAAAACCAAACACCCATCAGGGAGGAGGGGCACGCCGCAGCCAGGAGATTTCAAACCATTTATTGCTGCCCAGTCCATAGAGGCGCCGGGGCTTCCCCACGGTGCTCTAGATATCCACAGCACACGCGTTCTCCCAGTTCTTCTTCAGCAAGGACACCAGCAAGCTGACAATGAGGTGAATTTTGGAGAGGAGTTTGTCCCCGGTCATCTTCATGTGACCAAAAACCAGAGCACTGGGGACAAGGACACCGAGGTCACTTGGTAGAAGTTTGCAGGGAAACTGCAAAGACCACAGCCTGCTACCTAATAAAGCCAGAAGAGCAGGCTCAGACATTGGTGATCAGGGCACAATTTCTATTTATGTCATATTTTGGGCAGCCCTACAATAGCTTCAATATACTCCGCCACTAACTCGCTGGTATGCACATACATCAACAATCTGGCTCCCTGGATGTTTCTTTCCTCCAGCTAACATGGCCTTTGAAGCCTCATCAGTCCACCGTCATCTAAAATAGCTTAAGAGATTCTTGCTATAAAGCAATCCGTGCTCTCAGCGTTGAGAGCATCACTTAATGCTTCAGAGTTTCATTCCTCTGGCTGGGTCTAAACATTAATGAGCAAGCTCAAAGCAGTAACACGTCACACCCATGTTTTAATCCCTCTTCTCCCCTTGTAGATTTAAATGTTTATGAATTTTTAAATAGTTCCTGAAGTACGCAATGCTTCAAAACCCCCATTAAAACTCTAGTGCTACCTCCCTCAGAGTCCATCCACTCTCTCCCATCCTTATCTTTCCAGTCCTCTGACGAGCAGGTGCCCAGATGAGATTTCCAGTGGGTGTTTTTCAAGGATACAGAATAGAAATTTGGAAACAGTCACACTATAGAAACACTTTTTATTAGTGCATCACTAAATACCTTGCACTGTGAAGTGTCACCATTGCCACACTGAAAACCAGAAACGTGACACATGCAGCAGGGTCCCTTGTAGGCCCTGGCCAAACAGGGGAAAAAAAGAAAAAAAAGGCAGATTTAAAGAAGAAAATTCAAGTTTACCAGTTCTTCATCCAAACCCCACTCTCCTGCATCCTGAGATTTGGAAATCCCAGCAGACCAGATAAAGAACCCAGCAGATCACCGCTGCATCACCCAGAAATCAGCTCAGCTGGCGGAGAGAGAGCCTGACCTGCACATAAACCTCCCACTAGTGCATTGGCTCCTGTGGAGTGGAGATAAAATCACCATGGCCAATTAATCCTAGTCCAGAACTACCACCTTCAAACAGCCTCAAATCAGTTTACACCTTGCTTCAGGTGATATCTTCAGGGCATTTAGCACTAAGGACCTGTGAACTCCACCATCGTGTATTGCTTGCCCTGGGCCATCAGAATGCTACAAAAACACTTGAAATCTGGAGGGTTTGGAGCAGATGGGTAGAGGGAGGTTTGCCAGCTTTGCGCAGACCTGGAGCCAGGAAGAGCAACCTGCTTCACCGAGGGCTGACGCTGGAAAGGCATCGTACGTCTCGGCTGTGAGAAACAAAACTGGGGCACACATAGGAAACACTGCATTTTTTAACAGAAAGCGGATCTAAGCGGATTAAAACAAGTAGGGCCACCTTCAAACCAGCCTGATGAGACACATGGATGGCCAGTCAAGCCCTGTGGATGTACAAGTTATCAGAGATGTTGGGGCGGGGCAGGAGCCATCACCCATCAAGCCAAAGGGGACCTGAAAGCAGAGAAGGGCTTCTGCTGCTTCTTCAGCTGCTCGTGCCCGGCCGGGTAACGTGGGGACCTGCCGGATGAAAAACTCTTTTTATAAGGGAGCGTACAGGGCAAGCAGGCAATGTCCCCTCTCCGAGGGGAAACGGCAGCCGGCTGGGGCCCAGGATCGCTGCAGCCCACCTTCAGGCGTTCTTCAAGCACTTGTGTGCCAACGTGACTCCATCAATAATGCAAAATAATGGATTTTTTTGTTTTCCTGATTAAGAAAAGCCACATTTTGGGCACAAGCCATCTCCAAAAGGGTCACCTTTACGCAACTACCGCCCTGGAGGCAATGCTCAGCCCGGCCACCCCTCCCACCCATGGGCCCAGTGCCCACGTAGGACAACCGCTCGCTTCGTGGTGCCTGCACCAACAGAGCTTGGGAGAGGGGATGGAGAGGGAGACACCAAACAGGGCCACCACCCTGAGACCTCCCGCAGCCCGGCCCCTCCACAGCTCCTCCTTGGCTGCCATCTTGGAGACATCATCTTCAGCATGGCAGGGTGGGAGGTGCCACCTTGAGCATGGCAGCGGGCTCCGAGGCAGCCCAGAGACAGACCAGACACAGATGACTGAAAACACGTTCATTTTTTAAAAAAGAAAACCCTCATCTTCAAGTTTCGGGGCATGCGTGGGGCTGGGGTGGTGTCACCCAGCGATAGCCCACCTCAAACCAGTTCGGCTGAGCCCAAGCCGTCACTGCAAGGCGGAGGGCAGAGGCGTGGGCGCTCCGCATGTCGCAGCCCACGCTCGCTGGGTCTCCATCACGCTGGCACTGAACCCCAGCGAGGGACTGGGCAGCACACATCTGCCGCCCAAGGAAGCCATCGCCTCGCCGTTCCCTTCGGCGCTCACCTGGGAGAAAGAAGAGAGAAATCAAGAAGAGGGAAACCTGCCCAGGGCTTGCTGCCATGGCTTCTGGCAGACCAGGAGGGCAGAGGCGG